CAAGAAATGTTTAACAAGGACCTAGAAGAAATAAAAAAAAGTCAATTAAAAATTACTAATGAAATAAATGAGATCAAAAACACTCTGGAGGGAACCATGAGTAGAATAACAGAGACAGAAGATAGGATAAGTGAGTTAGAAGATAAAATGGTGGAAATAAATGAAGCAGAGAGAAAAACAGAAAAAAGAATCAAAAGAAATGAGGACAACCGCAGGGACCTCTGGGACAATGTGAAACGTCCCAACATTCGAATCATAGGAGTCCCAGAAGAAGAAGACAAAAAGAAAGGCCATGAGAAGATACTCGAGGAGATAATAGCTGAAAACTTCCCTAAAATGGGGAAGGAAATAGCCACCCAAGTCCAAGAAACCCAGAGAGTCCCAAACAGGATAAACCCAAGGCGAAACACCCCAAGACACATATTAATCAAATTAACAAAGATCAAACACAAAGAACAAATATTAAAAGCAGCAAGGGAGAAACAACAAATAACACACAAAGGGATTCCCATAAGGGTAACAGCTGATCTATCAATAGAAACCCTTCAGGCCAGAAGGAAATGGCAGGACATACTTAGAGTAATGAAAGAGAATAACCTACAACCTAGATTACTCTACCCAGCAAGGATCTCATTCAGATATGAAGGAGAACTCAAAAGCTTTACAGACAAGCAAAAGCTGAGAGAATTCAGCACCACCAAACCAGCTCTTCAACAAATATTAAAGGATCTTCTCTAGACAGGAAACACAGAAAGGTGGTATAAATGTGAACCCCAAACAACAAAATAAATGGCAACGGGACCATACCTATCAATAATTACCTTAAATGTAAATGGGTTGAATGCCCCAACAAAAAGACAAAGGCTGGCTGAATGGATAAAAAAGCAAGACACCTATATATGCTGTCTACAAGAAACCCACCTCAAAGCAAGGGACACATACAGACTAAAAGTGAAGGGCTGGAAAAAAATATTCCACGCAAACGGAGACCAAAAGAAAGCAGGAGTCGCAATACTCATATCAGATAAAATAGACTTTCAAATAAAGACTGTGAAAAGAGACAAAGATGGACACTACATAGTGATCAAAGGATCAATCCAAGAAGAAGATATAACAATTATAAATATATATGCACCCAACATAGGAGCACCGCAATATGTAAGGCAAACGCTAACGAGAATGAAAGAGGAAATTAATAGTAACACAATAATGGTAGGAGACTTTAATACCCCACTCACAACTATGGATAGATCAACTAAACAGAAAATGAACAAGGAAGCACAAACTTTAAAGGACACAATGGACCAGCTAGACCTAATTGACATCTATAGGACGTTTCACCCCAAAACAATCAACTTCACCTTTTTCTCAAGTGCACACGGAACCTTCTCCAGAATAGATCACATCCTGGGCCATAAATCTAGTCTTGGTAAATTCAAAAAGATTGAAATCATTCCAGTCATCTTTTCTGACCACAGTGCAGTAAGATTAGATCTTAATTAAAGGAAAAAAATTATTAAAAATTCAAACATATGGAGGCTAAACAACACGCTTCTGAATAACCAACAAATCATAGAAGAAATCAAAAAAGAAATAAAAATATGCATAGAAATGAATGAAAATGAAAACACAACAACCCAAAACCTATGGGACACTGTAAAGGCAGTGCTAAGGGGAAGATTCATAGCATTACAGGCCTACCTCAAGAAACAAGAAAAAAAGTCAAATAAATAACCTAACTCTACACCTAAATCGACTAGAGGAGGAAGAAATGAACAACCCCAGGCTTAGTAGAAGGAAAGAAATCTTAAAAATTAGGGCAGAAATAAATGCAAAAGAAACTAAAGAGATCATAGCAAAAATTAACAAAGCTAAAAGCTGGTTTTTTGAAAAAATAAACAAAATTGACAAACCATTAGCAAGACTCATTAAGAAACAAAGGGAGAAGAACCAAATTAACAAAATTAGAAACGAAAATGGAGAGATCACAACAGACAACACCAAAATACAAAGGATCATCAGAGACTACTACCAGCAGCTCTATGCCAATAAAATGGACAACTTGGAAGAAATGGACAAGTTCTTAGAGAAGTATAACTTTCCAAAACTGAACCAGGAAGAAATAGAAGATCTTAACAAAACCATCACAAGCAAGGAAATCGAAACTGTAATCAGAAATCTTCCAGCAAACAAAAGCCCAGGACCAGATGGCTTCACAGCTGAATTCTACCAAAAATTTAGAGAAGAGCTAACACCTATCTTACTCAAACTCTTCCAGAAAATTGCAGAAGAAGGTAAACTTCCAAACTCATTCTATGAGGCCACCATCACCCTAATTCCAAAACCAGACAAAGATGCCAAAAAATAAGAAAACTACAGGCCAATATCACTGATGGACATAGATGCAAAAATCCTTAACAAAATTCTAGCAAACAGAATCCAACAACATATTAAAAAAATCATCATGACCAAGTGGGCTTTATCCCAGGAATGCAAGGATTCTTTAATATGTGCAAATCAATCAATGTAATACACCACATTAACAAATTGAAAGATAAAAACCATATGATTATCTCAATAGATGCAGAAAAAGCCTTTGACAAAATTCAACATCCATTTATGATGAAAACTCTCCAGAAAGCAGGAATAGAAGGAACATACCTCAACATAATAAAAGCTATATATGACAAACCCACAGCAAGCATCACCCTCAATGGTGAAAAATTGAAAGCATTTCCCCTGAAATCAGGAACAAGACAAGGGTGCCCACTCTCACCACTACTATTCAACATAGTTTTGGAAGTTTTGGCCACAGCAATCAGAGCAGAAAAAGAAATAAAAGGAATCCAGATAGGAAAAGAAGAAGTGAAACTCTCGCTGTTTGCAGATGACATGATCCTCTACATAGAAAATCCTAAAGACTCTACCAGAAAATTACTAGAGCTAATCAAAGAATACAGTAAAGTTGCAGGATATAAAATTAACACACAAAATTCTCTTGCATTCCTATACACTAACAATGAGAAAACAGAAAGAGAAATTAAGGAAACAATACCATTCACCATTGCAACAAAAAGAATAAAATACTTAGGAGTATATCTACCTAAAGAAACAAAAGACCTATACATAGAAAACTATAAAACACTGATGAAAGAAATCAAAGAGGACACAAACAGATGGAGAAATATACCGTGTTCATGGATTAGAAGAACCAATATTGTCAAAATGGCTATACTACCCAAAGCAATCTACAGATTCAATGCAATCCCTATCAAGCTACCAACGGTATTTTTCACAGAACTAGAACGAATAATTTCACAATTTGTATGGAAATACAAAAAACCTCGAATAGCCAAAGGAATCCTGAGAAAGAAGAATGGAACTGGAGGAATCAATCTGCCTGACTTCAGACTATACTACGAAGCCACAGTCATCAAGACAGTATGGTACTGGCACAAAGACAGAAATATAAATCAATGGAACAGAATAGAAAGCCCAGAGATAAATCCATGAACCTATGGTCACCTTATCTTAGACAAAGGAGGCAAGGATATACAATGGAAAAAAGACAACCTCTTTAACAAGTGGTGCTGGGAAAACTGGTCAACCACCTGTAAAAGAATGAAACTAGAACACTTTCTAACACCATACACAAAAATAAACTCAAAATGGATTAAAGATCTAAATGTAAGACCAGAAACTATAAAACTCCTAGAGGAGAACATAGGCAAAACACTCTCCGACATAAATCACAGCAGGATCCTCTATGACCCACATCCCAGAATTTTAGAAATAAAAGCAAAAATAAACAAATGGGACCTAATGAAACTTAAAAGCTTTTGCACAACAAAGGAAACTATAAGCAAGGTGAAAAGACAGCCCTCAGACTGGGAGAAAATAATAGCAAACGAAGCAACAGACAAAGGATTAATCTCAAAAATATACAAGCAACTCCTCCAGCTCAACTCCAGAAAAATAAATGACCCAATCAAAAAATGGGCCAAAGAACTGAACAGACATTTCTCCAAGGAAGACATACAGATGGCTAACAAACACATGAAAAGATGCTCAACATCACTCATTATCAGAGAAATGCAAATCAAAACCACAATGAGGTACCATTACACGCCAGTCAGGATGGCTGCTATCCAAAAGTCTACAAGCAATAAATGCTGGAGAGGGTGTGGAGAAAAGGGAACCCTCTTACATTGTTGGTGGGAATGCAAATTAGTACAGCCACTATGGAAAACAGTGTGGAGATTTCTTAAAAAGCTGAAAATAGAACTGCCATATGACCCAGCAATCCCACTTCTGGGCATACACACCGAGGAAACCAGATCTCAAAGAGACACGTGCACCCCAATGTTCATCGCAGCACTGTTTATAATAGCCAGGACATGGAAGCAACCTAGATGCCCATCAGCAGACGAATGGATGAGGAAGCTGTGGTACATATACACCATGGAATATTACTCAGCCATTAAAAAGAATTCATTTGAATCAGTTCTAATGAGATGGATGAAACTGGAGCCCATTATACAGAGCGAAGTAAGCCAGAAAGATAAAGACCTTTACAGCATACTAACACATATATATGGAATTTAGAAAGATGGTAACAATAACCCTATATGCAAAACAGAAAAAGAGACTCCGATGTATAGAACAGACTTGTGGACTCTGGGAGAAGGCGAGGGTGGGATGTTTCAAGAGAACAGCATCGAAACATGTATACTATCTAGGGTGAAACAGATCACCAGCCCAGGTTGGGTGCATGAGACAAGTGCTCGGGCCTGGTGCACTGGGAAGACCCAGAGGGATCGGGTGGAGAGGGAGGTGGGAGGGGGGACCGGGATGGGGAATACATGTAAATCCATGGCTAATTCATTTCAATGTGTGACAAAAACCACTGCAATAATGTAAAGTAATTAGCCTCCAACTAATAAAAATAAATTAAAAAAAGAAAAAAGAAAAAAAAAAAAGATTTGCTGAGAATTTTTAACCAAAGAGGGTAAAGTTCTCCTGCTTTCTAGTTGTTTTTTCCAAAAGTGACATTCCAGGTTTTCAACTGCATTTGAACTGAAAGATGATGCCTTATTTGGGACTGTAGGGCAAGATGTTTCAAAGGACTTCTCAATGCCAATCTGGCGTTGAGAAGATGATGACTGGACTAAGGGGGAGGGTGATAAATGGACAGTGGTTTCTAACTGAGCCTGAGGTTGTGGATGATACTGGGTTACGGTTGGAGTTAAGGATTGAGGTTGGGCCTGGATCTCCATCTGAGCCCGAGAAGATGGCTGACAGTAAGGTATATTTAGAGCCAAGGGTATCGGTTGGGCCTGGATCTCCACGTGAGCCCGAGGAGGTGGTTGGAACTGGGGCATGGTTGGAGTTGAGGGTTGTTGGTGGTCCTGGACCTCCATGGAAATCTCAGATGATGGTGGACATTGAGGCATGGTTGCAGTCCAGGGTAAGGATCGGCCCTGGGTCTCCACATGAGCCTGAACAAGTGGTTGAAACTGGGGCATGTTTGGAGTCCAAGGTAGGGATTGGTCCTGAATCTCCATGTGAGCTTGAGGTTGTGTGGGTTGACACTGGGACATGAATGGAGTCTGGAGTAGGGGCGGAACCTGGGTCTTCATGTGAGCCCGAAGTGGTAGTTGAAAATGAGACATGGTTTGAGCCAAGAGTTGGGATTGGACCTGGGTCTCCATGTGAGCTCGAGGTGATGGTTGAAATTGGGGCATGAGTGGAGTCCATGGTGGGGGGCGGGCCTGGGTCTCCATGTGAGTCTGAGGTGGTGGCTGAAAGTGAGGCATGGTTGGAACCAAGAGTTGGGTCGGGCCTGGGCCTCCATGTGAGCCCGAGTTGGTGGTAGAGAGTAAGGCATGGTTGAAGCCACGATTTGGGAGCTGGACTGGGTCTCCAATGAAACTTCAGATGATGGTTGACATTGGGGCATGATTGGAGTTAAGGGTAGGGGTTGGGCCTGGGTCTCCATGTGACCCAGAGGTGGTGGCTCCAACTGGGGCATGGTGGGAGTCAAGGATTGAGGTTGAGCCTGGGCCACAGGTTGGGTCAAGTGCTTGGCCAATGACAGTTGTGAAGTTACTTTAGCTGGAATATGGAATGGTTTGGCTTTAGAGCGTTCATTAAATAAGACAGGGCATAACTCTAGAGTTGACCCAGGTACTGTGACAGCAGCTACGAGAGACTCACTGTGCAGAAAGGGGAGACCCCAGAAGAGCTGGCTGCATGTCTTCCGTAAACAGTCCCCCAAAGTGTCAGGATATCGGGGCTTCTCGGGACCAAGCAGCTGATCATGTTTCCCTTTTATGTTCCAGAAGTGTTGGTGACCCAAGGTGTCCTGTTTGTGACCCAGCGACTCGATCCTCTTCCCCAAAGAATTCGGGTGGTAGCCTGCCTCCTCGTCCTTTTCTTTCTCCTTCCACAACTTCAGTTCCACTCTCTTAGTGATTAGTATTTCCAGCAGTTCCTGGACATTAGGGTTGATAAAAGCAAGGCCACCAGCCTCTACCTGCCTATTTCTGGGATCTCCCCAGAATGAGGCCTCTGGTGGGTAGAGGGGAAGGCTTTCTTTCTGGGACTCTAAGTGTGTTGAGGTGGAGAAGCTCCAGGCTGTGGCTGCTTCCTGCCAGCAGGCCAGGGCTGATCCAGGGCTGCTTGAATGGACAAGCCCTGGGATGGCTGGTCTCCAGGGGGAGTGCAGAGATGACCTGTGTGGGATGGTACCCAGTGTGCATGTCGTGGAGTCACCCTGAGTGAGACTCAGCATGGAACCTGATGGTGTTGGGGCAGAGCAGGGTGCTGCAGGTGGAGGGCAGGCTCTCCCATGAGGCGGGCTTGTTGGGGAAGGGGAAACAGCCAGTGGCCAGGGTGAAAGGCTGTCCAGGGGAAAGAAAGGCTCTGGTGTTGGAGAGGCACTCAGGTATGACTCTGAGCAAGTGGAAACTGAACCTGGAGAAGTGGCAGAAACCCAGGGTAGAGGCTGCTTGGTCAGAGGAGCTGGGGAAATGGTGGGAGCTGCCTCTTCCCTGCATGGTGGATGGGCTCCAGCAGGCACTGCTTTGCAAACCTCACCAGGTGAATCTTGACATGAGATCTGATGAAAGCTGCCCTTGTCAGGGAACCTCCCCAGGTGTCTGCAGGAGACATGAAGAACAAGCTGCAGCCAGGAGCTGCCAGGCCAGGAGGACCAGACAGGCCAGGCAGGGGCGGGCAGCCACACCCCACAGCCCTGCACGGCCCCAGCACTGACTTCACAATGCTCCAGTTGTTTCTCACCAGGGGATGATAGCCATACCCTGCCCTCAGGACTCCTCCCAGCTCAGCCCCAGGCTGCCAGAATCCCTGGGTTCACACCATAGGCTCTAGAAGAACCCCCTAGAAAGAAAGGGTAGATTCTCTACCTTTGCAGAAGTGAAGTCAGGTCCCAGACCTCTTCCAGTGTTTCCAGGCAATCTCTGCAAGCTGGAAATCAGCAGACTGGGTCATGGTGGTGAAGATAGGAGCCAGGGGTCTTATAGAAGTTGAGTGCACTGTCTCTTTAATGGGACACCATTGGGAGACTGGAGCCCAAGCTCCAGTATCCAACACCACATGATCCCTGACAGTGATGGTGACGCTCAAGAAAGGGTTTATCACTTAACGTTTTTCCATATCCTTTACTCCTTACTGCCCTCACCACCTACCTGAGCAATGGGCAATGGGCAGGCATCACTTTGCAGTTGAACCTGAGCACAGTTAAACCATGTGTCCTATGTGTCCTGGAGGGCTCACTTCCCAATCCAGGTGCTATTAGTCCAATGCAGCCCACACGCCCTTTTGGTACAGAGTCTTTTCCAGGCCCCTCACAGCTAATTCTACACATGGAATCTGGGAAGTGTCTGGCTTCTGCCCTCCTCCCCAGAAGCCTCTCTGGGGGCCCTGCTCCTCAAGGGAGAAGTCCTGCCACTGGCCCCCTCAGAGCCCGTGGAGCTTGGCCTCATGGCCAGAGTGGTGGGGACTAGCACTCGGGGCACTCATGGCTGGGTGTCAGAACTCACCTTTCAAAGCGCCGTTTCTCTTGCTGCTCCTGCTTCTTCCCCTTCCCCTTCGTTCCTTTCTATGCTGAGAGAGAAAAAATTAGGGCTTAAGACCCAATTCTCAGTCTCCTCTCTCTCTAGACAAGCATCAGGCACTAGTGTCCATACATAATATGACTTTCTACAATTCACTGACAGAGCTCTGTGATTTTTCTTTCCTTTCACTCATTTTTAAAGTGGATAAAATATTTTCTGTTTTCCTTCTTTGAAGAACAAAAGACTATTTTCAATGTGAAATGCACTCTGTACTACTTTCGTCACTGTTCCTCTGCTCAAGAAACACACACATTCTCAGACTGTGGGCGAATCTGAGCTTCATCAGGTTTATCTCTGATTCCTGATGCCAGCACCACCACCCCCGCCCCCCCAGCCATTGCTCTGAGGCTCTTGGCGCTTCAGCGCTGCCAGACCATCAGCCCTGAGACACTGTTCACAGCTGCCGAACTAGGGCTCAGAATCCTGTCCTCAGCCTGAGACTGAGATCAGTATCCAGTCCTCAGCCCCTGGTCACTGTGTTTGGGACATACCCTGGACCCCTACCACACCAGGACAACTGATCTGAGATCTTTGGGTAGAAATCCTAGTGTTCACTCTATCTCCTGCCCAGCCTGGTTTGTCCCTAGAGGCATGATATTCTTTTCTTCCTTGAAAATAGATGTCCTGTTCTTTCCCACCTCAAGAATCTCTGGTTGATTCAGAAACGTAGAAATAATAATAATAAAGATTTTATATACTTGTCAGTCTGGACCAAGAGTTCCTTACCTTCCTGATGTTTCCATGTTTCCTAGGGGGAGCAAAGGATGGGTTATTCTCCAGGTAGGGAAGGATCAAGAAAAAGAGCCCCAGTCCACATAGAAAGGCAAGGATGGTATCGATCGCCCAGAAAGGGGAGCTGGAGTTCAGCCAAGTATCAAAAGTGCTTTTCAGAGAAAAGAGCAGGTTCTCCATCATCTGAATCACACCGCTGCCCTCAGGCAACTGAGCCAAGGGGTGCACTTGGGGACTAAAGTACTAGGCTCGCATCTTAGAGATGTGGTCTGGTCACAAAGGGCCCTTGGGGGTAAGAGGGATTAGCAGAGGAGGAGGCTGGACTATAGCCCCTCCCTAACCATCCAGCCACACAGCTTCATTCATCTCCCTTCCTCTGAGCCTTCCCATCCTACCTTCTCATCCTGGTAGAGACATTAGTCAAGTGTTGCTTCTTTCCACCTAGAACTCAGAGAATTCCTGGTTCCTTTGATATCATTGCTTGAGTCCCATCAATACTTTAAAAATTCTGGAGTTCTCCCTATAACTTTGGATAATCCCAAGTATTTTTACTTTTATTATATATATATATATATATATATATATATATATATATATGTATATATATATATATTTAAATTTCAGTTAATTCTTATTATGTTCAACTACTGGGAATTAAAAATTAGTTAAAATTATTTGAAATTTACAAGGCTATGAAATATAAAACAAATCGAAATAAACCTTCAGAGTAAGTTTTTCATAATTTGCCAGCTTCCTTGTTTTCTGAACTCAATACACTGAACAAAAAGTTTTGGAACACTCTGTACAGATACACACACATCCTTTTAACAAATCAGCCCAGTGTTTTCAAATCTAAGAACCAAGTTTTTTTTTTTTTCCAGTTCAAACGTTATCTTTCAGTATTTGTTATAAGTCGGACTGCTAGCAGTCAATTCTCCCAGTCTCTGTTTATCTGGGAACATTGTTACTTTGCCTTCTTCCCTGAAGCATAGATTTTATAGACACGGAATCCTTGGGTGACAATTTGTTTCTTTCAAATCTTTTAATATGGCATCCCACGGCCTTCACTCTGCCATTTCTGACTGGAAGTCAGGGATTAATCTTATTGTGATCTCCTCATATATGGAGAGGAGAAGGAAATTGCAACCCACTCCAGTATGCTTGCCTAGAGAATCCCATGGACAGAGGAGCCTGGTGGGCTGCTGTTCATGGGGTCGCACAGAGTCGGACACGACTGAAGCGACTTAGCATGCATGTATGCATTGGAGAAGGAAATGGCAATCCACTCCAGTGTTCTTGCCTGGAGAGTCCCAAGGACAGAAGAGCCTGGAAAGGCTGCCATCTATGGGGTCACACAGAGTCAGACACGACTGAAGTGACGCAGCAGCAGCATATCTGGAGAATAGTTTTTCTCCGGCTACTTTCAAGATTTTGCCTTTGTTTTTCTACAGTTGGACCAAGATATGTCTTAGAGTGGATCTGTTTCCTGTCATTTTTCTAGAGGTGAACTCTGAATCTAGAGAGTGTTTTTCATCAAAATGTTATAAACTTTCAGCCATTATGTCTACAAGTAATTTTATGCTGTCCCCTTTCATCTCCCTTCTTTCCAAGAGTCTCTTTCCTTCCACATTTGATGGTGTGCTGAGTGGATGCTGTAGATCATTTTCCCTCAACATCTTCTCTCTTTGTTTCTACACTGATTTCCTGAATTCATCTTTCAGTTTGTGGATTCTTTCTGCTACCATCTCAAGTGTGCTATTAAATCTGTCTATTTTTCAATTTAATAACTATAGTTTTCAAGTCTAGGATTTATATTAGTTTCCTTTTTAAAAGCAATTCCTAGCTACTCATTGAGTGTCTCTTTTGACTTAGTATCATATGTTCATCTAATTCTTCAGCATGGCTCCTTTAGTCCATCTTGCAGTTATCATTATTTTGATATTTTAATGTTTTGACCTTCATACTGAATTTATAAGTGATATATGAGTAATATGTGATAAATGCTTTGCTCACCACCGTTTCAACACTAGAGTTTTCTGATTTTAACTTTGTACTTATCTGTCCCAGCGAGTTTTATACTTTGATATAGTTTCCTTTTCCTAATTAGCATCTTTTCATTTCAGCTTGTAGAACTCCTTTTAACATTTCCTATTAGATTGATCTAATGGTGATGAAAGTAGGGAAAACCACTAGACCATTCAGGTATGACCTAAATCAAATCCTTTATGAGTGTACAGTGGAAGTGAGAAATAGATTTAGGGGACTAGATCTGATAGACAGTGTGCCTGATGAATTATGGACAGAGGTTCGTGACATTGTACAGGAGACAGGGATCAAGACCATCCCCATGGAAAAAAAATGAAAAAAGGCAAAATGGTTGTCTGACAAGGCCTTAAAATAGCTGTGAAATGAAGAGAAGTGAAAAGCAAAGGAGAAAAGGAAAGATATTCCCATTTGAATTCAGAGTTCCAAAGAATGGCAAGGAGAAATAAGAAAGCCTTCCTCAGTGATCAATCCAAAGAAATACAGGAAAACAACATAATGGGAAAGACTAGAGATCTCTTCAAGAAAATTAGAGATACCAAGGGAACATTTCATGCAAAGATGGGTTTGATAGAGGTCAGAAATGTTATGGACCTAACAGAAGCAGAAGATATTAATAAGAGGTGGCAAGAATACACAGAAGAACTGTACAAAAAAGATCTTCATGACCCAGATAATCATGATGGTGTGACCAGTCAACTAGACCCAGACATCCTGGAATGTGAAGCCAAGTGGGACTTAGAAAGCATCACTATGAACAAAACTAGTGGAGATGGTGGAATTCCAGTTGAGCTATTGCAAGTCCTAAAAGATGATGCTGTCAAAGTGCTGCACGCAGTATGCCAGGAAATTTGGAAAACTCAGCAGTGGCCATAGGACTGGAAAAGGTTAGCTTTCATTCCAGTACGAAAGAAAGGAAATCCCAAATAATGCTCAAACTACCGCACAATTGCACTCATCTCACATGCTAGTAAAGTAACACTCAAAATTCTCCAAGCCAGGCTTCAGCAATACGTGAACCATGAAATTCCAGATGTTCAAGCTGGTTTTAGAAAAGGCAGAGGAATGAGAGATCAAATTGGCAACACCGCTGGATCATCAAAAAAGCAAGAGAGTTCCAGAAAAACATCTATTTCTGCTTTACTGACTATTTTAAAGCCTTTGACTGTGTGGATCACAATAAACTGTGGAAAATTCTGAAAGAGATGGGAATACCAGAACACCTGACCTGCCTCTTGAGAAACCTGTATGCAGGTCAGGAAGCAACAGTTAGAACTGGACATGGAGCAACAGACTGGTTCCAAATAGGCAAAGGAGTACATCAAGGCTGTATATTTTCACCCTGCTTATCTAACTTATATGCAGAGTACATCATGAGAAATGCTGGGCTGGAGGAAGCACAAGCTGGAATCAAGATTGCAGGGAGAAATATCAATAACCTCAGAAATGCAGATGACCCTTATGGCAGAGAGTGAGGAAGAACTAAAGAGCCTCTTGATGAAAGTGAATGAGGAGAGTGTAAAAGTTGGGTTAAATCTCAACATTCAGAATACTAAGATCATGGCATCTGGTCCCATCACTTCATGGGAAATAGATGGAGAAACTGTGGAAACAGTGTCAGACTTTATTTTTTGGGCTCCAAAATCACTGCAGATGGTGACGGCAGCCATGAAATTAAAAGACGCTTACCCCTTGGAAGGAAAGTTATGACCAACCTAGATGGCATATTAAAGAGCAGAGACATTACTTTGCCAACAAAGATCTGTCTAGTCAAGGCTATGGCTTTTCCAGTGGTCATGTATGGATGTGAGAGTTGGACTGTGAAGAAAGCTGAGTGCCGAAAAATTGATGCTTTTGAACTGTGATGTTGGAGAAGACTCGAGAGCCCCTTGGACTGCAAGGAGATCCAACCAGTCCATCCTAAAGATCAGTCCTGGGTGTTCATTGAAAGGACTGATGCTGAAGATGAACCTCCAATACTTTGGCCACCTCATACGAACAGCTGACTCACTGAAAAAGACTCTGATGCTGGGAGGGACTGGGGGCAGGAGGAGAAGGCGACAGCAGAGGATGAGATGCCTGGATATTATTGCTGACTCGATGGACATGAGTTTGAGTAAACTCCGGGAGTTGGTGATGGACAGGGAGGCCTGGCGTGCTGCGATTCATGGGGTCGCAAAGAGTTGGACACGACTGAGAGACTGAACTGCACTGAACTGAAGAACCCTCCAGCCTAAAGCAAGGAGGCACCAAACACAGCAAACTAAATAAAATGAAAAGATGAGAAATATACAGGAGGTGAAGGACATGTTAAAAACTAGCTAGACCAAACAAACGAAGAGGAGACAGGGAGTCTATCACAGAATTCAGAACACTGATAGTAAAGATCATACAAAATCTTGAAACAAAATGAAGGCAGGGGTAAAAGCAAATCACTACTAAAATGTCATCAAACAACAATGAAAGAAAGCTAGAGAGGAAGAGGACAACACCTGCAAAATATACAGAAGACAATTAACTAAATAGTAACAGTAATCCCTACTGATCAATAAATAAGATAAATGGATTAAACAGTGGTTGAATGGTTTAAAAAATAAAAAAAGACCCAACTTGAAGTTATCTACAAGAAACTCATTTTAGACTTAAAGACACATATAGGCTCAAAATGAAGGGATGAAAAAAGATACTCCATGCATGTAAATAGTAAGCAAAAGAAAGCAGGGGTGGCTACTCATATAAAAGAGAAAATAGATATTAAGTCCAAAATTGTCTCCATAGAAAAAGAATGTCTGTATTTTAATAAAAGAGTCACTTCAACAGGAAGATATAGAAATTATATATGCATACAGCATCAGAGCCCATAAAGGTATAAAGCAAAAACTGGAATAAAAGAAAAAAAGTGATTGCATAAAATGGCCGTAAGGAACTTCAATTATCCACTCAAAGAAATGGATAGAAAATCAATAAATAAACACGTCTTGAAAACACTATAGATCACATGCTCCTTACAGACATATTTAAACCTACCACCAAACAGCAGCACATAAACTTTCAAATACACAAGCAACATTCTCCAGGATACTTAATAGGCCACAGTCAAGTTTTAACAAATTTAAATAATTTGTTTTTGAAATTACTATTTCAAAATAATTATTAATTAATTGATAATTAACAAATTTGAAATAATTTAGGTATCTTTTCTGACCACAGTAAGATGAAATAAATCCCTTAAGAGCAAGAAAACAGGAAAATTGAAAAATATTTGGAAACTAAACCATACACTCTTTTCCCCACTTCCAGTTTTATTGAGGCTTAACTGACATTGACCACTGCATAATTTTAAGATGTACAGCATAATGATTTGACTTACATACATCAGGAAATGTTTATCACAAGAAGGTTAGTGAACATCATATCGTATGGATACAAAATAAAAATAAAAGAAAAAAATGTTTGTTTTATGATGAGAACTCTTAGGATTTACTTTCTTAACTCTCATATATAAAACACACCAATTTTAATTATATTTATCATGCTGTACAAAACATTTTTTAAAAAAAATTGGGTGAAAGATAAAATCAAAGGGAAAATGAAAAAGTATATTGAGACAAACTAAAATGAAACACAACACACTAAGACTTATGGGATGAACCAAAAGCAAAACTACAGGAGATGTTCATAATGATAAATGCATACATTAAAATGTAAGAAAAACTTCAAATAAAAAATTTAATTTTATGCCTCAAGGAACTGTAGAAAATGAAAACACTCATCTCACATTTAGCAGAAGGAATGAGACAACAGAAAAATAATAGAAAATATAAACAAAACTAAGTAGTGTTTTCTGGAAAACATTACTGTGACAGACTGTTAGCTAGATTAAGATGAAAGAGAGACAAATCAATGAAGTCAGAAATTAATAAGGAGGCAATACAAATGATGCCTCAGTAATAAAAGAATCATTAGAGTTGACCATAAATAATTATGTCAACAAATTAGATAACCTAGAAGAAACAGATAAATTCCTAGAAACATACAACCTATTAACACTAAATTGAGACAAAATAGAAAGTCTGAACAGAACAATAACAAATAAGGAGACAGAATCAATAATATAAAACACAACATTTAAAGAATTCATACCAATCCTTTTCAAAGTTCTCCAAAAAAACTGGAGAGCAAGGAACAGTTTTAAATTAAGTCTACAAGGCCAGCATTACCTTGATATCAAAGTCAGAAAGAAACATTACAAGGAGATTATAGGTCAATATCTGGAATGAGCACAGATTCAAAAATCCTCAAAAATATTAGCAAAGCTAATTCAAGAATTAATTAGAAGGATCCTACTCCATGATTAAATGTGATTTATTCATGGGATGCAAGGATGGTTCAAAATACTCAGATCAATCAACATAATACACTACATTAACAAAATGGGGGAAACTCATGATCATCTCAATAGACGCAGAAAAGGATTTGACAATATTCAACATTCTTTCATGACAAAAACTCTCAGCAAATTGGGTACAGAAGGATCGCCCCTCATCACAATAATGGCATATATGAAAAGATCACAGCAAACATATTACTCAACAGTGAAAAACTGAAAGCTTTCGCTCTAATATCAGGAAGAAGGCAAAAATGCCCACACCCACCACGTTTATTCAACATAGCACTGAAAGTCCGAGCCAGAGGACTTAGGCAAGGCACAGAAATAAAATGCATGAAAATCAGAAAGGAAGAAGTCAAATTGCCTCCATTTGCAGATGACATGATCATATATGTAGAAAATCCTGAAGTTTCAAAAACAACACCAGTGACAACGGTAACAGAAACCATCAGAACTCATAAATGAATTTAGCAAAGTTGCAGGTATAAAATCAGCATATAGAAGTCATTATATAAAAGCAATGAACTATTCCAAAAGGGATATTAAGGAAAAAACACCATTCTGAATATAAAGAATGAAATGCTGTGCTATGCTGCGCTTAGTCACTTAGTTGTGTCTGACTCTTTGTGACCCCATGGACTATAGCCCACCAGGCTCCTCTGTCCATGGGGATTCTCCAGGCAAGAATACTGGAGATCCATTATGCTATCTCTCCAGAATACAACCTCCTCACCTCTCTCCCAACATATAAAGAGAAGGACACTATATATGTATATCAATCCTCACCCTGAATATACAAATATATTACCTACTACAACACACAGGTATAAACATCCTAAGAGTCTTCAAAGAAATATATTTAAATACTCCTAGCACTCCATACATTATGAGCACTTTCATAATTCATGCACCTAATGATGGACACATACAAATCAGTATACACAAGTAAGACAGACAGAAATATCTCCAGGAAACCACTTATGAAAAAACTTCCATATACCAAATGATCCCTAGCTATTAGAAGCCAGCTCATACATCTGTATATACTAACAAATAATCACATCACATATTTCTAATATATATAAATGAAATTTACCAACTCCCCTGTATAAACCTGAAATCTCACCTTCTCATCAGATATACACATACTAACTTCTCAAAATATATAAGCCTAGGAGGCCCCCACTGAAAAACAGAAATCCAAAGCACTAGCAAATATTCCTCCAAATGGCCATGCCCCTTGAATACACACACAAGCTCATTATACACAATCTCCATAAGCCCCAAATATAACCACAATTACCCACTACATTACAAATATGCAAAGATATGACTATATACATATACTCTGTTTCAAATACATACCACACTACCTGCATATGCTTATCCCACATTCCCAAATTCTCACACAGAATTAATTCTCCCATCTTGCAGAATACAGAAACTTATAAACACAAGAATAAACATCTACCAGCCCCCCAAAATAGCCACAGACTTGCCCCTACACAGCAAAATATATATAGATGGCCCCATAGACAGCTCCTGAAAACCCACACAGAGAAACCACAGAAGCATACAAGCACTAGACACAAATGGTGCCCTCAGTACACAGATTACCACCCGACATTCCTCAAGTACACAGAACAGACTGTACACCCAAACTACTACACACCACTACTTTTCCTAACATTGCCCTTATGCATATGAAAACCCACCATTAAACACATTAAACATTAAACACATACAAATCCCCAAATTCATGGGTGAAGCCCTCAAACATCAAACACCTAATCACCAACTACTTGATGCCTGTGTTACGATCTTGACACCCTCCAAATACAACATTCACCCTTACACATTCTCACCAGAATAGGGACATGAACTCCCCTTAATCACAAATATCCACAGACAAAACCACCTACACGCTGGACAATCTATCAGACTCCCATCAACAATTAATAGGTACAAACCTCATCTATGCTTGCAAATCAATCATGTTTTGACATCAGAGTACAAATAGATGTCTGCTACTTCATCACGGACAAGAGTGTCCTTTGAACATATGTGTTGACTGATATTTTCACGTTAAATAGGAAGACATCTGTGAAACTATGAGCATGTATGTTAGATCTTCACTCACTTTCCACTCATTTCCCAATGACCTGCGCTACTCCTTGCAATGAGTGCTCTCAAGTAGAAGAAATTCCCTCTAGCTTTTGTACTCAGAAGCCACGGGCTAGAATGGCACCTGTTTAACTGCTCTCAGGATTTCGCCTCCACTGCAGGCCCTGCAGCCGGGGAAGCATTCTTGCGGCCTGCTGCCCACAGATGCCAATGACCCTGGTGTGAGCACCACCTGGGAACTGAGCGCTATAGGGGAGTCTCCCTACTCTGACAAGGGCACAGGTGTCCCCAGGGTGAAACGGACCACCTGAGCGCTTAAGAGTCGTGTCTCCCTTACCTCAAATACCTCACAGTTCCTGTGTTTGATTCTAGAGGCTGCCAGGAGAGGCCTCCCGCGCCCAAGCCAGGCTGGCCTTTGGGGCTCCGCCCTCCCTATTGCAGCGAGAGCTCGTCTTCCAGAGGGCACAGCCTTAACCGACGCCAGGAGGAGCTGTTGGACAACGGCCATCAGCCTGCCAGCAGTGGGCGTGCGCATGCGCATGCGTGAAGACATGGCGTGGGGGGGGGGGTGGGCACACACATAGCTGTCCCAGGATGTCACTGCAGGAGCAGAGAGAAGTGGAGGGTCCTGGCATGCTGGGGAGCTTCTCTGTCCACGGCTTCTCACCGGGAACCTTTGTAGCACTCTCTTCTTAAAACCAGCTCTTGTGAGATGCGCACCGGTGATTTTTACATTGCACATGTGAAATCCATGCACGTAGATACAAGATTTTTGGAGACCGCCACCCTAAGCACAATTTCCTTAAATTGGGAAAGTGTTTTCATGCCCTCTCATGCCTTTTCTTGTCCTTGGACTGCAGTTCCGTGATTCTTGTTTATGTCTGTCAAAAACCAGTAGGTCCTTTTCCCTAGTAGGCCGAAAGTTTCTGTTAAAGAACAATTCTACCAAGGAATTTCAGATCTGGGAAATGCTCTGAGATTCTGTCTGCAACTCCATTCCTACATTTTCCAAATGCATTCACTCTACTAGAGTATTTTTTCTTATTATTTATTTACTACATGGAGGTTCTTCAGAAAATGTTGATTCTCAGATGTTTCCTTGCAAGGTTATTTTTATGTCAATAACTTTGATCAAGACTTGAAAATTCGGGTCAGTTTCAGTTGACATAGCAGCATGGGAATAATCATATGCTCACTTCCATTTATATTATATATTGGAGAACTTAGGCTGCTCAATCTTAAAAAACAAAAAAGAAATAGTAGCAGAATCAACTTATTGATTTGGGTTAGTAGTACTTTACAAACAAGTCTCAGTCATCAGATTATCTTAGTGATCATTTCCAAAATTAGTACCTTTTCTACTCTACAGGATACCTCTTAAAACCCCTCATATCTAGCAATACTGAGAGCCTCCAAGCACATGGGTTGAAAGCTACAAGACATAAGCATGGGATCCCACTGCACTTCTAATGTTCCATGCTTCAGTAGAATACGATCGGTCATCTAAGGTCTGTGATCCACAACCATAGATTTTTTTCTCAGCAAACAATACCTGCCCCCCACCTTTCTGCACAAATAGTCAGAGATCATGGTCTAAAGGACTTTTGCTACTCCCTTCTGTTGCCTGTCTCCCCAAATTACTTCTGGACTGATTTAATTACATCTGCATCTGTGGTCTAAGATTTTGATGGAGTACAAAATGATTGTAGATGTGAGATGGGATATTTTTTTTCCACAAATCAATTTGTATGTCAGTGGCCCTGGGAAGGCCCATTCAAACTCTACTCAGAGCCATGAATGAGACTCTTTTAGCAACTGATTGACAGGGCCAGGGGAAGAATTAATGAGAGAACCTACCTTTCTGGAGTGCCAGGGTACAGTATTTTACCTCCCCATTCCTCTAGTGTGAAGTTACAGGTTAAAAATGATTTCATCTTTTCCCCTGAGAAACGCTCAAATAGTGAGAAATGTCTCCAAGTTGTTAATTTCTTCAACCCTTAACAGTTTGATTGTTGTTTTGTTTTGTTTTAAATAAACTTTACTGTGATTTTTCCTTAAATTGCTCTCACCTCATCTTCTCAACTGAGGTCAAGGGAGAGTGCACAGAGTAGCTAACCCAGAGAATAAAAAATAAAAAAGTTAGGTGCCTGTAAGATAATTTTGTACTGAAGAGCACTAAAGGCCTGGGAAATATGCAGATGGACAAGCCATTCCCTTCAAGTGACTGGTAAAACCCTCTGAAAATATCAAATATATGTATCATTGAAATCTTTCAGATTTAGACGTGGGAAAAAAGTTAGAAATAATGAGGAATTGGGCATGAGTTAAGGACAATTTCCTACACAATTGTAACAAAAAAGAGGAAAGAAACCTGAGTTATGAATTCCCAATTCTCTTTCTTTTTCAAATGGCCACAGTTAACTTTTCATACAAGTCTGCCCTTTTGAGGCATTTCTTTTTCTTTCATTATTTTTTTTTTTAACAGGAGTAAAAAACTTTTTAAGCAGCAAGAAAAACTTGTGTCCCAAGGGACTCAACTACACTTTTAAATTTTTACAAACGTTAAAAAGCAATTAAATGGAAAAGGAATAGAGTTTTTAATGAATATTAAAATTAACCCAAAATGCAAAGTAGATTTAAATGTAAAATTTCAAATTTTGAAGCATTTTTTTTAAAAGGAGAAAATCTTTCGGTCCTAGGGCTTAGTGAAGGTTTTTTACATATTGAGAGCAAAAACATTATTCATAAAAGAGAAAAAACTGGATTTTATGAAAATTCTATGTTTTCCCAAATGAAAGACTCTGTTAAGAATGAGAAGCAGCTACGAGTTTGTAGAAATTATTTGCAAGTCATACATCTGACCAAAGTCTTAGAGTGTATAAAAGACTATCAGAACTCAATAAAAATAGGAACAATTCAATTAGAAAATGCGGAAAAGATATGAAGAGACATTTCACCAAAAGAGGACATCTGTTTGACAAGTAAATCATGAAAAGATGTTCAAAACCCCTGGTCTTTAATGAAACTCAAATTAGGAACACAATGAGAATAATCATATGTTGATTTACAACAGCTAAAATGAAAACAAAATTTACTGTTAGTGAGTATGCCAAGAAATTAGATTTCTCATAGTGCTGCTAATGGAAGTGTAAAATGATACAGTTGCGCTGAAAAGAAGTTTGGCTATTTCTTAAAAAAAAAACTAAATATATACTTAACCATATCGTTCAACAATTGCATCCCTGGCTGTTTACTCCAGGAAAATGAACACAGGGTAACAGGCATCTGAGTACAGTCTGCAGGAGTACAAGAAACAAAGATATTCAAGTTCTGTAAGAAAGATCAAGATTTGAATTCCTGTTCCCACTAATTCCAACTTATGTCACCTCTGAAAAACTGCTTAACCCTGCTAAGCTTCAGTTTATCTTTAAAAAGCAGCTAAACCAAGATGATAATGCTGAGCACTAAGTCAGTTTCAGGCAATGGGGAACTGGCTGGGCTAGAGCTGGCATTTGGTCCATCTGTTATGTGGATATGGTATGTGTTGGAGTCCCCTGGTTAGAGGTCTAAGGACAACCAGGAGAAACAGAAAAACATCTAACTCCAGAAATAAGATGTAGGAAGGCCAGGCTCCAGGGCACAGGCAGCCTGTGGCTGCTGGGGTTGGGAGGAAAATAAGAACTTAGCACCAGTGGAGCGGCTGCTAGTGCAGCTGAACTGCCTGAGCTCCCCTGACCTTCTGGAGAATGTGTGTGGACCACATGGCGTCTCAGTAGCTCCCTGACTCCGGGGCCCTTGGCAGTCTTGCCTGAAGATCCATACCTGAGTTCACCACCAAGGGAGGGAATGCTAGTCTTCCCCCTTCCAGAGGCCACTGGGCTTAGGGGTTGATGCTGGTGGTGGACACGTGGCTAAGCATGGTGGCATCTCAGTGGTAGAACCCCAGCCAGATGCAGGGACTGTGGAAATGTGTGGACGCTTGTTAGACACTCTCTGGAGGCCTTCCAAGCTCCTCTTGGGGAGGGAGTTCCTGTGAAAATTCCTGGCTCCAGACATGGGATCCGTGTGGGAGTACTTGAGAGTCCATTTGTGGTCATCTGTCAGTGGGAGTCCAGGATATGTGGGCAATGCCAGGATTGCAAAGAACTTGGCCTGAATCTTTTGAATAGTATCCAGTCCATATCGGATATGTGCTAAAGGGGAAATTTACCATATTATCATGGGTCCTAAAGGCTGGGGTGGGTGCATTCTGAGGCCTCCTGGGATGCGGCGGGTTACACAAGGAATCTGTGTCAGGTAGAATGGCAGGAAGGATGATGAGAACATTGCTTCAAGGCTTATTGGCAGGCCACTAAGTTCTGAGTCAGCTAAGCAGAAAGAAGACACTAGGCTCCTACTGCTGAAGATGTGTGGACACTTGGGACAGGCTGGCCTGGGTTTCTGGCCAGAAGAGAGCAGTTTCATATGGGGTTGAGGGCCAGGAAGGTGGGCAGTGATTTTGGGACCATGGGCGTAGGTGAGGGATCCTTGGGGGTAGGTGAGGGACCGTGGGGGTAAATGAGGGACCGTGGGGGTGGGTGAGGGACCGTAGGGGTGGGTGAGGGATCTGTGGGGGTGGATGAGGGAACGTGGGGTGGGTGAGGGACCATGGGGGTGGGTGAGGAATCCGTGGGAGTGGGTGAGGGACCGTGGGGGTAGGTGAGGGACCGTCGGGGTGGGTGAGGGGTGATGGGATCCATGAGGGAACATGGGGTGGGTGAGGTATCCATGGGGTCTGAAAGGGATCATAGGGTTGGTGAGGGATCATGGGGGTGGGTGAGATGACATGGGGGTGGGTGAGGAATGGCTGGGAGTCAATTCTAGGAGCAGAGGTGTGAGGACTGCCAGAGTGGACCTCAGCTCACAGCCTGGCAAGGGTCCCCTTGCTGTATCTCCCACTGTGAGCCAGACCCCCCACATGCAAGAGCCTTCTGTGCTGTAGGCGTGAACCCCCTTCCTCATGGCCTGGGTCATGTACTCCAGTCCAGCTCAAGTGTCCTGGATGCGGGGATCATCCCCCTACCTCCACAGGGGGTAGGTCATCCCTTCTCCAAACCCAGGGAGTGATGATGCTTTACTTTGAGAAAGATTCTTAGTCCCCTGCAGTATAGACACCTGATAATATGTCTTACTTCCTATTACGGGCTGAATTCTGACACCCCCACCCCCAGTTCTTTGGCTGAGATGGTAAAGAATCTGCGTGCAATGTGGGAGACCCAGGTTTGATCCTGGGATTGGGAAGATCCCCTGGATCAGGGAATGGCAACCTACACCAATATTCTTGCCTGCAGAATTCCATGGACAGAGGAGCCTGGCAGGCTATATACTCCATGAAGTCACAAAGAGTCCGACTTGACTGAGCAGCTAACACACACAAAATTCTTATGTTGAGTCCTAACCTTCAGCACTTCAGAATGTGACTTTCTTTAGTTTTCACAGTCCCGCATGTGGGTTCTTGGCTCTTTAACAAGAGACTGAACCCATGTCCCCTGCAGAGGAAGC